GGCATTGTGGCAGGTGCCTGTAGTCCCAGCTACTCAGGAGGCTGAGGCAGGAGAATTGCCTAAGCCCAGGAGCTGGAGGTTGCTGTAAGTTGTGTGATGCCATGGCACTCTTATCAAGGGCGATATAGTGATACTCTGTCTCTATCCAAAAAAAAAAAAAAAGTTACTAAAGGCCTATTGTGTCCCAGACACCATTCTAAGTGACCACAGCGTAAAACAAAACAGGGTGGGCGGCACCTGTGGCTCAGTGGTAGGGCACCAGCCCCATATACCGATGGTGGCAGGTTCAAACCTGGACCTTGCCAAACTGCCACAAAAAACAGCCGGGCACTGGTGGGTGCCTGTGGTCCCAGCTACTCGGGAGGCTGAGGCAGGAGAATCGCCTAAGCCCAACAGCCTGTGAGCAGTGTGATGCCATGGCACCAAGGGCAATGAAGTAAAACTGTCTCTACCAAAAAAAAAAAAAAAAAAACAGGACCTCTTCTCTAGTGACGGTGAAGGGCAAGAAACAAACCAAAAAAATATGTTGGAAATCACTGAAAGACAAAAAACTTCCCTTTTGTTGAGATTTAGACTAAGACTAGAGAAAACATTTGTTCACTCATGAATCAAATTGTTGAGCACCTTATTCTGAAACACAGTCTCACTCTGCTGCCCTAGGTAGAATGCCATGGTGTCTTAGCTCACAACCACCTCAAACTCTTGGGACTTAAGCAATCCTCTTGCCTCAGCCTCCCAAGTAGCTTAGGGCATTTGGGACTATAGGCATGCACCATCATGCCTGTCTAGTTTTTCTATTTTTAGTAGAGATGGTGTCTCAATCTTGCTCAGTCTGGTCTCCAACTTCTAAGTTCAAGCAATCCACTCATCACCCTTGGTAGTGCTTTGGTGTCACAGCTCACAGCAACCTCCAACTCTTGGGCTTAAGCGATTCTCTTGCCTCAGCCTACCAAGTAGCTGGGACTTATTGTAGTTGTCATTGTTGTTTGGCAGGCCCGGGCTGGATTTGAACCCACAAGCTCCAGCGTATGTGGCTGGCACCCTAGCTGCTGTACTACAGGCACCAAGCCTATTTATTTTTGCAACAGGTCTTGCTCTGTTGCCTGGGCTGGAGTGCAATGGCATCATCAGAACTCATCGCAGCCTCAAATTCCTGGGCTCAAGCAATCCTCTTGTCTCAGACTCTGGTGTAGTAGCTGGGACTATGGGCCCATGTCACTATGCACGGCTTATTTTTGTATTTTTTGTAGAGATGGGTCTTGTTATGTTTCCTAGGCTGGTCTTAAACTCCTGGCCTCAAGTGATCTTCCTGTCTTGGCTTCCCAAAGTGACAAGATTATAAGCATAAGCCACTATATGTGGCTATGACTGGCACTTTAGACTGGAAAGAAAGGAAATAAAAGAGGAAATCTGAGAGGTAACACGTAACCTAAGCCTGAATGATGAGAAGTAACCAGCCTTTCAAAGAATAGGCAAAGAAAGTATTTTTTTTTTTGAGAGAGAGTCTCACTATATCACACTGGGCAGAGTGCCATGGCGTCATAGCTCACAGCAACCTCCAACTCTTGGGCTTAAGTGACTCTCTTGCCTCAGTCTCCCAAGTAGCTGGGACTACAGGTGCCCCACAACGCCCAGCTGTTTTTTTTTGTTGTTGTCATTGGGATAGGTTCCAACCCACCAGCCTCAGTGTATGTGTCTGGCACCTTAACCCAGCAAAGAATATTTCAGTCACTTGGAACAGCTAGTGCAAATACCCTAAGGCAGTAATGAGTGAGGAAAATTCAAAGGACAGAGAAAGAGGATGTGCAGAAGAGAGGGAAGCAAGGGGTCAGATCTTCTAGGGCTTAGTCTGGGGTGTGGAGGCTAAACTACTGAAAGCAGGGAGAACCAGTGAGGCAGCTACTATAAGGTTAGCCTAGACCATGTCATGGTAAGAAATCCAGCCTAGCCTAAATCATAGTAAGAAATACTCTTAAGTTTATGGTGTGTGGTTTCCCTTTGATCAGGGTAGGGCTGGGGTGTCACTTTGCCAACAAAAGCCCCACAAGTATAGGGTGCTGTGGGGTGTACCTGACAATGAATGAAAAAGCCATTCTTAACACTTTAAAATTTTTGAAACTTTGCCTTGAATGACTGCAAGTACCAAGTTCAAAACAGAGAACACGTGAAAACAGAAGATTCAACCACTCAAGACAGATACAGAGCTCAACTTGAGCGTTTCACTTCTCGGAGATGGGTACAAACCAAGAAAATAAAAAGGTGGCTCTCTGCCAACACTTAGCTTGCTTATCTCCTTAATAAAGTTAAAAATTGCTAGTGGGTGAAGACAGGGACAAGAGGTGACTGTGGTGTTGTACAAGTTTTCCAACCGTCCATTTACCTAGATCCCAAATTCTGTAAAAATGAGATGGGGGAAATTGTGTCAAGTTTTTCCATGCTTTGATCCAATATTATTCATTACTCCTTATAGTATAAGGAGTAACGTATAAGGCTTATACAGAGTGTTGAGCCGAACCTTATTCTTTTTTTTTTTTTTTTAGAGACAGAGTCCCACTTTGTCGCCCTCAGTAGAGTACCATGGCATCACAGCTCACAGCAACCTTAGCAACCTTCAGCTCTTGGGCGATTCTCTTGCCTCAACC